CCGACAATATTTTTGGCAGTTCATAACTAGAAAGGGTAAATATAGTCACAAGCTGAATATTACTTTCACGTATTTCTTTAATTACAAAAACATGACAAAGTTGAAAAAGAAAAGTAAAACTTTAATAACGTAGGAACTATGTATACTAATCTGATATAAAAACGGCTAAACACTCACGTATATTCGTGCGGAGCGGCACCAAGACGAATATACGTGAGTGATTAGCCGTTTTTATATCAGTTTAGTATAATGTCTCACGAAAGTTTGAATAATTTAATATGTATATTAATATTTTAAAGATGAAAGATTAAATTGTTTTTTGTTGAAGTGATTTCGACACTGCAGAACCGATTTGAAAATTTATTTCACCGTTAGCAAATTACATTATCCATAGCTGGTATTATTTATTACTACATTTTTTTTAGTTTGCGCGGACGAAGATGCGGGCAATTGCTAGTTGGTTTATAATAAAAAGACTGATATTAGTCGACACATTTAAAGGAATCCCGCACTATAATATGTGTTATGAAATTAATTACGGAATTAAACAAAGTATATAAGCAAATTTTGTAGTTCATTGTACTAAGTTGGACGTTATTTGTAATACGGCCTCATCGTAAAGGTGGCGTTCACACTTAGTAAGTTAACTGATCTGTTACTCCTCGAACTACTTTATTTGTTTAGGCCACAACAAATAGCTGCTCCGCTCAAAATTTCCACGGGAAAGCCTTAAATTGCACCTACAACTCTTGTATTGTTTAATCAAAAGAGAGGAAAATAATGTTTTTGATCTTTTGTTATGCCTACAATAGTTTAATAGTTAAGTAATAAGGGCCGGTCCCGACTTCACACTGCTGGATATACTAGTATTCTAATCCTGGATTAAATTATTGACATACAAAACACAAATCTTTTCTTCTATTTCATGTTGAAAGCATTGCAGAGATTGTGTCAATCCCGTATGTTGAAAATAAAATATGGATCTTTCATGTATATTCTTGTGGTATATGTAAGAGTTATATAAAATAAAAAGAGAAAAAGCTTTCGTAAGTACGACAAAAGCGTAGTAAGTATCACTCAAATATCGTGTGACATTCGTAAGAGTTGGTGAAGGAAATGAGAGGAAATCAAGTCGCAAGGCGCACTCCGGGGACCTCTACGGTACTCCGCAACTCTTGATGGATGCGATCATTGCCTTCATTAATTTTTTACCACGCTCCAGAAACATTGTATTACATTTTTTTTGGGAACGTCATTTGGGAACGTTCTATGCGGTAATGTGAACTAAATTAATGTTCAAAAAGTTATTATTAATTCAAAAAGTTACGCGGAAAAGTGAGATTTAGGTCTTTCATTTCTATTTTACAATGGTTAGAATAGCATAATAGGTGGCACAAGACCGGTCATCGTGGCGATCCTTGGGGGAGGCCTATGCCTAGCAGTGGGCGTCTCATGGTTGAGAAGAAGAAGAAGAATAGCATATTCATGTAAAATCGTAGTTTGAGGGAAGGGTTCTTTTACGTAGACTGTATTAGTTGTAGGTAAAATATAACTTTTCATGCTTGTTACATATTGTTGTTCTCTATATATATAAAAAAATTGCTGTCTGTCTCGCTAAAACTCGAGAACTGCTCAACGGATTTATCTTATCTTGGTCTTGAAATGTTCGTGAAGGTCTAGAGATGGTTAAAAAGGTGAGAAAAATTCGAATAATTGCCGGGAACTACTCAAGTTTTTTTTTATTCCATGCGGACAGACACGCAGTTTAACGTTTTCTGTTGCAATGGCTTTTTGATGTTTAAAACGACATTGCGTATTCTCTGGGCAGTAGGCACTGGGCACTATTTATGTTTCCTTTATTATTTTACAAGTAGGTTACATATCAGCTCAAAACATCATCGTCCCAGTGCTGTGAACAGGCCTTTTCTCTGGAGACGGTATTAAATAGCTCATGCAGTATGCTCATTGTGAAATGTATTATAATAAGCTACTGACAGTAAAATGAAAAGCCAAATTTCCATATATCTTTGGTTTGTTTTCAAAATAATTCAATCAATATTTTGTAATTTTGCATCTTTGGTGTATTGACTGAAGCATTAGATATTACAGATTAATTATTATCAAAACCTAATAATTAATAAACATTATTAAATTTTAAATACTCAAATTTCACATTATATTTTAGAGGTTAAATCGGCGATATCCATTCGAGAATTGCCCCATTAATTCCAGACGGGTATAGATTGGAACACTTTCAAAATATAACGTAAAATACATTCGCGATCAGCCTTTAACGACCACTCTTATTAGTAATCAGAGAGATATTATCATTGTATGCGGTAATGAATTTAACGTACTAATCAACTAACTAATTCTATAATGTTATGATCCCGAACTGAAATAACAAATGTATTAATGACTTTAAAATACTATCCATCTTTAATTTATGTAAAATACTAGTTCTAAGTCATGTTAGATCACATCTCACTTTCCGTAGACGTTCTACGAATATTGCTACGAAACTTAATGTACCTAAAAATACTATAGGTAGTTATGATTAGCTTTCATTTCATTAATTTTAAGCCGTTGCGTTTCTTACAATTTGAATTTCATTATTTTAAGAGTCATGGTTAATATTTACTTCGGAGAAAAAAGTATAAAAAGCTTGTCGAGATTGTTAATAGGCAATTACAGAGCAGACGTGTCCCCATTGCAACTGTCTCATGGTCAACACAATATTAATTTAGTTAAAAGGGCACAAAAGAGTCTCGCACCCTCTATAACTGAATAACATTACGTAGAACGCCGCACGAACGTTTCCGCGGACTAAGCGATATAACAGAATTAACACGGGTCAGGAAAACATAGTGATATAGGTTTAAAAACAATATTAGTTATTTTCCTCGTTCAGTAACCGAGATAATTATAATAAAAATATATAGACAATTTTAATATTTTTTTATCCATATGACGATAATGCGAACGACTATCGCATCTAAAGATAGGCAACGCATCTGTAATTGCGGTTGTCTATGAGCAGCGGTCGCTTCGCTATTACCGCGAATCTGGGTGATAGTTTGCTCGTTTGTCACCTAATATTACAAAAAAATAAATCTAACAATATTTGAATAAAATAATTTAGTGAATACAACATTTTTGAAACGTTTTTTGTTTCAAAAGAGTTAGATTATGTGGTATTATAATAATTTCATCGATTCGTAGACTGTGGAATTGTTTATACAGTTTGGCGTAACTTCAATATAAAAGATAAATGAAGATAAAAAAGTTGGTAAATAAAGTCTGGAAAGTCAGATATAGTTCGTTCTTTATTACAGTAGGCCCGTCACAACAAAAGGGGTCTGAAGATCGTTCGAGGTGTGAGCAAACAGAAGTGATATTCAATTGTTCTTTTTCAAGAGTCGTCCCCCCTCGCTTATGACGTCAGGTCTACAATGGTTTTATTGGAGCCATTTTGCTCCTGTTAACATCATCCCCGGCAGAATGCAACGAGGATTTCAACGGACAACGACGTGACCATTGTCATGTAAATTTGATTTCGAAAGAAATGCAAACTTCGCAAGAACGGATGAATATTTCAAATTACCAGACGCTTTCATTGCGGGAAATATTGTTAAATTTGTGCGTCTGCTCTTTCTGTTTGTTGATTTTGTGGATGAATCGATGTTATATTATTAAATCAGTAAAACGTTAAAGTAATTTAATTCAGTAAAAATTCCTCGTATCATAACATTATTTTTCTTATGAGAAACTATGTCTATTTAAATAAATTCGACTGAAACATCAATATCGACACAAGTTTAAATAATATTATTTATTTTGTTGAATTATAAATTATAACATTTATATTTTGTGTAACATGTCTTTCACAGGATGTACTTGGAATTGGTAATGAGTATACGCTAAGTAAAAGTTGCAGGTATAAGAGAGTGTATTCTGTATTTCACATGAAAGTTGTAAGGTAAAACCTCTGAAATATGCATCGCGAGGATTAGCATGAACTAAAATCGGGGCCATGTAAATACAGGAGTTCGTAGAGCAGTGCTACGCGGCGCGGGCAGATGTCATGGCATGTTTCTACGTGTAACTAGGGATGTGACTTCACACTGAGGGAGCGGTAAATATCGATAAATATATATCACAGAATATTTTGAGTTTGACATTTTAATGGCATCTTACAATGAATATCTGACTCTATGAGGAATTGCACACTTTTGTTGATTTACCGCTGCCTTGAACGATATTTCGAAAGCAACAAATATTGGACTTTCTGACTTACGCTTTACACCAAGATTTGCATGCAGATTTACATGTTGTTTCTGAATTAACTTTTCAATTTATAAATTAATGTTATTGTGAAAGGAGTATTTGTGTTAAAATCAAAATCATAAAAAAAATAGTATCGATATAGCATTTAGTGATTGCTCATCACTACGGCTTTATAAAATGGCGACTGTAGGCCGGTGGGCGCGTGGGGTGTTTTTAAGTCTTGCCTCCATCCAAACACAACCCAAAAATCTTTATAAATGCAAGGGGGACGGTACTATTGAGCCACGTAATGGGAGGAAAAGGGATGGAACAGGTGCATCCGAGTTAGCTTTGCGGTCTTAGTAGATACAGCACGTTCTTGCCGTTTCAGACGCTGCGGTTAGGGGTACCTAAACTTTTCTACGAATTGAAGTGGAGTTGGGAAAAACAAATAAGTAAGTATCTCATTTGAATGTATAACTTGGGGGCTTTTTAAAACGAAATAGGTGTTACTTTGCAGATGTATTCATGTACTATGTTAAATTTTAAATGAAAACATGTAATGAAAATGTTTTACGACAGCCAAATGACTGTAAGAGGTTTACAATTTAATTCCAAATGAAAAATTCACACGGGGTGCATATTTTTGAAGTGAAATTAAGTAAACAAATAATATATTTGTTAAAAGTTTGTAATTGGAGTCTTATCTTTAAACATGATAAAAGAAATCTTACCTGCTGCCGACTAATAAGTAGTTCCCGTCCCTCAATAATAACCTGAAGTAGTCTGTGTGAGTCTCATTGCCGAGGAACTTGTGTGTGTCGTCGACCCCTGTAACAACAAAATAAATGATTAGAAACTGTCATAAAGTTACGTATCCGTAAAAACATTCAGCATAGAATAAAATAACAAGGAAAAACGGAACTAGAAATTGTATTCATATATCATTTAATAAAAATATGACAGTTGTTTCAACTGCTTACTAAAATAGATTTGGCTAACTTGGTTAGTACGAACCAGTATTATGTACATGATAAAATATCGAATCGATTTATAATAATTATTTTAAACCTTAAATTAATTACGCAATGCTTTTAACTGACAAATCTATTTGGTGCTTTAAGTAAACTTTTATATCTTAAAATTATTTATAAAATTTAAACAAAAAAAACCGAATAATTCACTAAAATATGTTATTAAAAGGAGTCTCTTTAGGCAAGGTAAAGGCAATTATTTATTATCTCCACTAATTTGAGATTTACTGTTTAACATATGACATGAATGGCAAAAAGTCTAATTTTTTTTTAAATTATCTAAATCTGAAACACTGCCAACTCTTTACAGTGGCGACTACGTTATACAATTTTAAAAACAAACAAAACATTTATTTAATGTAAATAAAGTATCATTTCTTTCACTGTATTTCACAATCAATTCTAAAAAGAAATTGTATGTTTGTGTATACGAGATCTAATGGTGCGAACATTCATGCTGTATCAATTATGTTAAAAGCCGCGAGAGAAGTTTCAATTTGATCTTATTAGTATTTTGTTACGATATCCAAAGGTCTGAGGAATTTGCCTTTCCATTACCCAGTCTGTAGCAATTTTCTAAGCTCACTCGTTCGAGAACGTGGAACGTGATGCCTTAACGCATGTTAGCGAATTCCTTTATACTCTACATAAGAAATAAAACAGAAAAAATATCAACTCTTCTTTATATAAACACAAATTTATATAAGTACAAAGATTAACAATTTAATTGTCTATTAATAATCTTGATTGTTAAAACAAATGAGGAGTTCTATTGTTTAATTTCTAAATGAAACCACAAGGCCTTGATCTCTATTGGCGACTAATTCTCGAAGATATCTGCAATCATTACCAGGCCTATTCTATTATACGAACAATATCACTATAATGTCCGTAATAATATCGTTAGTGGTCGAACGATCAAAAAAAATCTACTATACCCCACACAAAATATTTATATATCAATTGCAGTATAAAGTTCTATTACCTAAAACCAGTACGTTACCATGTGAACATGACGGATTGACTCGATAAATCACAATTGCAAATAAGCAAATGAACAAACGGATTCCCGCAGTAAATAATTCAGTTGTATATTTTTAGAATATTCAATATTTTATTGGAAATTTCATAAACATTGCCGGTAATATTTTGAGTACGTTTACAAATGCGTCAAGTGAAGCTTAAATGAGTTACAGTTTGACGATTTTGCCATTTAGGGAACGAGTTAAGATATCGTCGATTTATTTTTATAAGTACACCGATATTGAAAAGATGTAAAAGAATATGATAAAATGTTTTGTACACTCTGGATATTTCTTTAATGTAAAATTTTCCTTCTATGTTAACCAGACTATGATAAATTTGTACGCTTATGTTTGGCAATAACTTAAGCAAAGTAAATCTTAAGACAATATTATATACGAGTATGTATAGCTTAATAGTCACATTTTAGAGCGAAAAATCGTAGTTATCCATGGTAAAACTTAAGTTTTCTGAGGATATATCTATACTAGCATTATTTTTCCGAAAGAATTCTTCATTCGCTACGTACCTGGGTGACTTAAAAGCACATATGATATGCAGACATTTTGACAGGTCTGCATATTAACAAAATGTTGGCCGAACATGACCTGGGAACGAAGTTATACTGACCACTGATCCGGTTTTAACCAGTCAGATGGGGCAATTGCAATGTGGTTTGTGGCAGAATATATATGTAAAATCGTAACTTGTGGACGACAATCCGAGCCGAATACCAAGACAAAGTTACGGCGTGAGTTTTGAAACATGCAGTTTTATGGCTATGGTTAGAATCCGGGACATAGGTAGCCTATTTTACAGTCAACTCCTCGTACTTGTCGCCTTTTTTACACGTGACTCCTATAACCTGATAGGTAATATTGCCCTACTACAGAGCCGTTTCTAAGATGAAAGAGTTCAACTGTGCGTAAAACAATATTCATAAAAACCTTCTAAATTTACTGTTTGTAAGGCAAAAGCACCGAGTGAGAATAAAATGAGAGGCAAATCGCTCTGATGGCACGTACGATGGAAGCAGAGATTACGAAAGGGAAAATTTTATGACGAAGGATGTAACGATTCCAATTCAAATGATACACGATTGGATATCGCGATTAAGAAGACATCAAGACGTCTCAATTCATTCATCTTTTACGAATCGTTTGCTATCGAGTGAGCATTAGATGAATAAAAACACAGACAATAAATTCAAGTCTACATGTGATTTTCGTCACAGAAATATAAGACGATTTTGACAAATATTCTGGTTTGTTTGTAGATTTTTGTTAATGTTATTGTCAAGATAAAATCCAATAAATAGCAAAGGTTTATCGATACAATTCAACGTAATCTCTTTAAATGAGATAAGCAAACCTTAAAAGATATCCTGTAAAAGATAACAGGAATTTTATATATTTAAAATGAAATAACATTCTTCAATTGTTACCCTGGGAGTAATTACATGGTTTCCGGAGCGAACTAAAATTGTCTTAATTACCATACAATACAGTGCAAATTTAAACGGACACCATCTTTTGAAGTAATACAATGAAGAAACAGATAATGTTAACCATGTTCCAGCTAATCGCGCTCCAAGGGAACATTCAAACTCTAATTGGTCTGCTATCGTTATTCAGATATTTTAAACCACAATTTCCTGGTTCAATGTATAAAAAAATCGTATTCCACTCCTATAATATTTTATCTTAATTAGAAACCGCTTTACAAACAAATAAAGGTCTTGTCTTGTCAGACATGTGTCGCCCACTGCTGGGCATAGGCCTCCCCCAAAGATCCCCACGATGACCGGTCCTGTGCTACCTGCATTCAGGACGCTCTCGCAACCTTGACCAGGTCATCGATCCATCTTGCGGGAGGTCTGACCACGCTGCGTCGACCCGTACGTAATAAATAAAGGTAAATAACACATAATTTCACTATGCTAAGTAAAACGAAAAATTAAGTCATAAAAAGGTATTTAAGTCGCAACTACTGAGAAATAAATCGATATAATTCTTGTTTAAATGTCAAGTGAGCTATCTACACTGTGTCGTTACGAACGCTTGTATACTTTAAGCCGATGCGAGATCCCACAGGAGCCATTCGATCAGTAATGCGGCTCGTTATCGTCGACAACTTAATGTGTCGCTCGTTTACAGTCCTTGCATCTACCGTGTTCTGCAATAACCTAATTATATATGTATATTACTTTTTAATACAATGCTTTTTGTTCTCTCGTGTTTTTTTATTAATTGCTAGTTGTCGTCAGCGACTCCGCGCAGAATTTAAAAAAAAATTAATTAGTAACCTATGTGCTTTTCCAGACTAGGTTCTATATATATGCCAAATTTCGGCGAGATGCATACAGCCGTTTTGTAGATACTTTTGAACAAACATCCTGATGAACATTCGCATTAAAAATATTTGTAAGATTTATTTCTCTTTTTCTGCCATTGCCGTATCTATGAGTAAGAAGTAATAAATGCCGATTATAATGTAGCCGGAAAATCGTTGTTTAATAGTGTTGATATAATAAGTAAAGGAAAATACGAGAAATGAAAATTAAGGTGAGATTAGAAAAAGAAAAGGAACAGTTCCAAATTTAAACACAACATAGAATACGAAGTTTATGGAACGTAGTAACATTCCCAGTTACACAAATGTATTTTCATAATCCACAAAAGGAGATACGGTTTGCCTCCACAGATCCCCAGTTGAGGGAGCTATATAATCTGTCAGCAAAACGAACTTATCACGAAGAGAAAAAAAAACGTCCGGGAACTTGTCTCTGGCAGGATCTTCGGCTTACACAAGTTTTCAATCCACAGTCCCGATTGATAACCAAGATAAGTTACGAAGCTTTATTATACCCACAGAAAACTTTTCTACTAGCATTTTATAACGAAGTATATTTATTGTTGAAGCGTTCTACCACATTTATATACATTTCTCTTACGTTATTAAAATTATTCATTGACTCTATTGTGTACGTTAAAAGGCTGATTATATGAACATTAGACACGATTATAAAGTTTTTTTTATATATTACAAGGTGTCAAACGAGCTAGCGGCCATCTGAAATCGCTGAAATAGCCAGGTGGCCGTTACCCATAGACATACGAAATTGCATATGCGTTGCCTACTTTTAATCGACGGAGGAAAGGATGTACAGAAAGAAAATATTTTCCCTTTCCATGTATCCTCTCATCCGGAAGGTCCACTTCCATTTCTCATCCTTTCCTTATAAGAAAAAGGGTGTTACGGGAAAGAGGACTAAATTAGGATTCCGGGACACACACTCATCAGACGAAACGCGGAATTGCCTTCACGTCTGTCTTCTGTGTGGTCGTGGTATTTCACCGGGCGAGCCGGGCCAATTGGTGCGAACATATTAAAGCGGGCTCTACCACTGTTCTTGCGAAATACATCTTTCTCTCTACTCCAATTGAGTTCACGAAAACTTAAAGTTGTATGTCCAAAAGCTTTCTCGTCTGAATGACATTAATAGTTCTTTATAATCAACGTACATTGACTTCGCTATTTCAAAGTCGAATTTATTTATAGTTAAGTAAAAGCGGTTGCAACGTGCTACAAATTAGATCGGATATAGTTACGCAGCTTCCGCACAATGCATGCGGACTAGGGCCGGATATTAACTTAACCGCCTTTCTAGGTCGAGGAAATAAGCGAAGTGACGGCCCACTTTAACTTTGCTCAGATCCAACGATAAAACTACTTTTAAGATGCGATATATTACACATTATACACATGTGCTTA